TCCTATGTAGGGGCAAAGCGTTTCTCCTAAATATGAACTCTGCCTTCTCATGCCACAGACACTAAAAAGAGAATCCATTAAAATTGTAGTGTGGCGGTGATTAGTACGCACTACACACAGACCACACTCCCTGCACACTGCATAGGTACACCGATGTTTGCCTCTTTTCCCCTTTATTCTGGACCCAATTTATTCCATTTTGGCTTAAACTATTTTTCCAGAATAATGTGAAAGGAATCAAAAAGCTAAAACCTAAGTGGCTCTAAACTTGACAGGTACCTGCTTAAAAACAGTTCATAAACTTATGACAAAAAAGGACTTAATTCGTACTTGTTTTCAGTGGCTTTGCTTTTCCTTTTCAGTGTTTTACATGCTCCACCTGCCGGAATCGCCTGGTCCCGGGAGATCGGTTTCACTACATCAATGGCAGTTTATTTTGTGAACATGATAGACCTACAGCTCTCATCAATGGCCATTTGAATTCACTTCAGAGCAATCCACTACTGCCAGACCAGAAGGTGAATACCCAGCAATTACTAATAAGCTTTATTAGAACAAGTTGGAGGGTTCAACCTCTTTTAACCTACCAAGGGAGTATTCCTGGGTTGTTGTATTTTTGCATGCCCTTTTAAAAGAAGTATAGACTATTCCTATAGAGGGTTCAGCAACAGAGTAGTTGATTAAATTATGAATCATCTATAGTTAAAAAAAAATCTTGATGTGGTTATATCTGTAGTTTCATTGATGTTCAGTGTAGGCTTATCTTGTGCAAAGTCAGACTTCCATATAACCAGTTGTTTATCCTGTTTGACAATTTTGAAATTCAGAAACACAATGTGATAGGTTATTGTGGGAAGAAAATTAGAACATTCAGGGTAGGAAAAGGGAATAAACATCTTTGTCATGAAAGAATGATCTCTGCATAAGTAATAGGAACCTGGACACTTGACATCCAAGCCCCATTTATGGTGCATTTAATTTTGGAATAGCAGTTTAACAAAACATTCTAATTCCAGAGTAAGGCATTTTTGTTGATTGGTAGCCCTATAAAATTTGAATAAGTTACGACTTTTAAAACAAAGTTCTTACTCTTGCTTACTAGTTTTTGCCACTGATAGCGCCATTAAATATTATGTATCTCAGTTCTTGCTCCACAACTTGAAAGTTCTTGGATCAGAGTTAGAAATGAGGAAATTATACAAATCATGTAGTGTTAGAAGGCACTTCAGAGGGAAAATTGGTGATCAACAGTTGTCCAGCACCCGCAGTACTGGGTAGTTTTAGATCTATTCTAATCTCCTTAATAAGTTCTATAGCTATGCAAGTGAGTGCATTTTTGATAACTGCTGTGCCTAATTTGTAACAATTACTGTCAACCTTCAGTTAAGAGACTGTTCATTCCACACTGGCCCAGAAAAGAGTGAAATGTATGACTCGTGCGCATAATTTTATTCACATCATATTTCATACTGATTATGTATTGACGACATTGATTCATTTACTCTTTACAGCGCCACTTGCATGGATATTAAATCTTATTGACCACAGATGAATTTTAATTTCAGATTGGTGATAGATTTTTCCATCAGCTCTGATAGTATGTTTGACTTTTTCATCATTAACCCAGGCAATCACACAGCACTGAGTTATTGCATTGAAACAAAAAGTGCACACTTCACTTGGTAATTCTTTATGGATTTACAATAGGAACTTCATTAATGTCTGTTGTAAGGATCTCAAAAAAACAACATTTATCTGCAAATAGGAATTTTGCAGGCCTCAAAAGTCTCAGAAAAAAATATTAGGTTGCCTTGTCTTCTGTAATGCATTTTCTTAATGCCGTGTGGGGGGAAATGACAAATACTTGAAAATTTTTAACCATTTAAAATTATACTGCCGTATTTTAATGCTTATATTTGTTGTTTTCCCTTAAGTTTATGGGTTAATCTTAAACATATTTTCTGTTTCTTTATTAAGTAAATGTCAATTCATCAAAATATTTGCACTTTTATTTATTTAATTTACGTAGATGGGGAGCTACAAATAATACAATTTTTAAGTATAAAAGTCTAATTATTTGTTGCAAATTAACCACTTAACATTGTTGAGCATTTCAAGTTTCTTTAAGGAGTACCAATACATGTAAATACTTACAGATTTTTATCGCTTGAATTGTAATACAGTGAATCTACAGGGCAGAGTTGAGAACAATGAATGGGTAGCATAAATATTCTGAGATACCCATTTCAAAATAGAGGTAAGGCCATTTGTGGTTATACTTGGTAGCAAAAAGTTAAATGTGCTGGGAATAAAATGGTTGATTTCTTGCCCACCCTTCCCTCTAATATAAAAGCTTAGTTTTTTTTCCCAAGTTAAATCTTAAGTTTGTTGCTGGTTTTATACTATTTCTTTCCCTGATTTAGCAAAGTATTAACAATTCTCACCAACATAACATTGTGAGAATTGAAGGCCATAGAGACAAAATGGAAGATGGAGCCAGATTGTGAAGCACTGGACATAAGCAATAGTGATGTTAGTTAGGGATGAAGTGCAAAGGACAGCCAAGAAATATGAGCAAGATCTCAGGCCCATCTTACTGAATACAAGATGATGTAGATTTACAGGCATTAGGGAGGGAAACTGCAGCAAAATCTGTCTTACATGTTCACAGGATTATGTACATGGTGCCTTTTTTTGTACATATCTTTTGTTTTTCAGAATGGGAGCGGTAGAGTTCATTCTGGAACATAAAATATATTTTAGGCAATGCATAAGAACCTACTAATGTATATTTTCTTAATGTTAGAGGCCAAAAAGAGACAGGTGGCTTTGGAAAATTAATAGCTCTTAAAAGGCATGAGGAAATATAACTTAAGGATATGTTCTTGTCAGACATTGGTGAGAAGCTGCGTTTTGGGGGTGATGTTAATTAAGAACATTTCCCTGTTGGCATAAAATGTCTCACATTTTTGCCCTTGGTGCTCAGCGCACCATGAACACAGTCAATTCACAAGGTAGTTTTTGTAAATAAAGGTTTTGGGCAAGCTGAACGTGGTCCAGAGAGATATTAATGAGAGGGCAAGGGGGAAGAGTTACTGAAAACACACTTCTGGTGGAACATAAACTGCTTTTTGGATCTGGAGAATGCTTTAAAATTATTTTCCCAAAAACCCTGTGGCGTTTCTTTTCTGGAGGAGATGCAGTGGGGAGAAATGACAAATAGCTCCATTTTATTATTTTCTTCTTTCTTGTTCTCCATATTTTTGGTAGGGAAAATTGGACAGTTATTTTGACCGTTTTCCTTCTGCGCACAGAACCGATTACATTTCTAGTGTGTGATGCATAATAACATATACCCAAGCATCCTCTCACCTAAAAGTAATGAGTTGGTTATTTGTACGTCCCTTCCTTAAAGGCAGCTAATTGTATGGAAAGTAATAGGCCCTTGTCATCTAGTCCCTTTAAACTTTTATCCTGCCGAAATGTGTTCCCAGCGTTTGGGGTGTGTAGTTGTTGTTCTGCATCATTTAGCTTTTGTATATTCAGAGGAAGATAACTAAGCTTTTAAATTACATAGTCTCTTGACTGAAATCTCAGACCACCGGTGTTCAAGGACCTACAAAATTTTATAGCCTGTATCATTTAAAGGAAGCCTGGCTAGCCTCAGGAGAACACTGCCTTCTCCAGAGCTATGTAAATACAATCAGAAATTGTGGCCACATTTTTTTTGTAGATTTTTGCCTGCTGTGGAATTCTTTCTTCCACTCAAAAGTCTAAAGGTACCCTCTAGAATTATCTGTGCTTCTCAGTAAAATAAGAGATTAGACGCCTTTAGTTGGAGGAAAATTTAGCAAGGGTACTAGTTTACATAGCACTCTGCAGTTCCCCCGTAGTTACATAATTGGTGTTGTGTGTGTCCATCGGAGAGGACATTTGATGCTCATTTATTAAATATGCTCACTGGCTGCTACCACATCTTTGTTCTGGACAGACAAATTACCTTTCTCACACTGAGCTTCCACTCTGGGGAATTAAGCCTCCACCACTTTAATTAGCTTGGAAATGGGGGGTTGCAGTTCCTAATAGACTTCAGGCTTTTAGTAAGTTAGGGAAAGGGTGAAAAGAGAACTTTCTGGGAAGCTCAAAATGTCATTTAAAAACCATAAAAACCTAATACATATATGATTTCATTTTAGTAACTGAAAACAGATTGTATTTGAAGACTCTGTGGATTTTCATTTCTAACTTAGACATTAAAGTTAGACTTCCATTGAACTCTGTGCTCTTTAATTGATACATCATCAACACATTACATGTGTTTGATTCATATAATTACCACATATTTGTGTAACATTAAGTGACATCAAAAACCCGTTGCTGTCGAGTCAGTTCTAACGCATAGGGACCCTATAGGACAGAGTAGAACTGCCCGATCTCATAGGCAGGTAGGAAATGTTAAGTGAAAAATTACATCTGATAATCAGAAAAATAATATCTGAGTTATTTGCACATACGATTTTTTATAGATAAATACCTATAGATAAACACCGAGGTGAGTAGATATCTCGTGCAAATATCAGAAGTCATTCATACTAATGATAACTGCCAGTATTTTTTGAGCATTTAGTATGTGTCAGGCGCTGTTGAAAGTATTCCATGTGTATTATTGTAATCATCATAACAGCCTTATTATCCCAACTTTAAAGATGAGGAAACTGAGGTACAAGGCAGTTTGAGTAACTTGCCAAAGGTCACACAATTGAATGTGTTAACCTAAAACTTCTGTTGGGAGGGTCTTGGTTATGAATGTGCTCTTTCAAAAAGTCCAAGATATCACTATTAGGCAAGACCTTATAATTCATTCCTTTTGGAAAGAAACTTACTGGTAACAGTCAAGCAATTCGTTGTAGAACTTTATACTAGAAACTTTCTGAAAGTCCATTTATTGTCTCATTTTCCGTGCTAGTAAAACTGCAGAAAATGTTATGCTTAGTTCTTCACTGCCGGAGTAAGTAGCGTAGAAAGCCTCCATCAAGTTACAGTTGGAAGGTAATCTAATAAAAGAAGATTAGTGAATGTAGAGAAGACAAAAGCAGTCATGTTTGAGTTTAATATTTCTCAAATTTAGCATTTTAGCTAAGATGCCCATTTTTATTTCTTGCAGGTCTGCTAAAAGGTCAGAGTAATGCAGAATGCGTGCCTTCATCTCAGATTTTGTTCATCACAGGTGGATCCCATGTGTCTTCAGTAGACAAGTCACCTTTGTAGCTAGCACCAGTGCCAGCTCCATGCCATTGCACCTTCTTTAGTCTTGACTGCCCTTCCTGCATTTATTGGTGTATTAAAATGACTGAATATGAACATTAAGGACTCCATGAACCTGGGCTAATGGGAGACTGTAGAGAAAATGAAAAAAGATCCACCGGAGGACATATTGGGGGCGGGGGAGGGAACTTGGGGGGAGGGAAATGACTAATGAAGCTAATTAAAAGAAGCATTCAGATCTGCTTTCTACCCTCATTAACAATTAGCAGGGCACTGGCCAGAGTTTGTACCCTGTGTTTTACCTTAACAACATTCTATTTGCTCTTTGTATATTTAAGTGTTGTAAGGAAATGTGTTTCAATCAAAACTGAACATGAGATAAAGGAAAGAGATGTGGCTTTTGTGATGCTCTATCACAGACACTTTTATTGTATCTCTGTAAAATACAATGTATGTATGCATGTAAGTGTTTTTGTCCTAATGTTGCTACTCCCATGGCAAAGAAAAAGGAAAAAAGAACAAAAAAAAGAAAAGAAAAAATAATTGGGAAAAAAAATCAGGCTCATAGCAGCTACTGTGTAGAAATTTCCCCCTACTTCTAATTTGCTGAATGAAGAAAAAAATCTTTTATTTGTGATATTTTCAGAGACATTTGCTCTAGTATGGTGTATTTAAATAATAAAAACTTAAAAGAAAAAATATTCAATGGAGTTTGGGTTTAAACACTGCTTTTTCTTTTCTGTATTTTGGAAAAAAATCATTTTTGTTCCGGTAACAAGCTCACTTTAAATTGTAGGGGTGAAAAGGAGGTGGTGTGTATACTTATTTAGCTTTGGGCCAATAATCTTCAAATTACTTAAAACCCCATTGCTGGCAAGGCAATTCCAACTCATAGCGATCTGATACAACAGAGAAGAACCGCCCCACAGGGTTTCCAAGGCTGTAAACCTTTACAGAAGCAGACTGCCACATCTTTCTCCCACAGAGTGGCTGGTGGGTTCAAACCCCCAGCCTTTCAGTTTGCAGCCAGGTGCTTTAACTACTGTGCCACCAAGGTTTCTTTCAAATTACTTAACCATGTCATTTTTGGCAGAGGTACAAAACACTGTTTCTAACAAAGCCCATTTTGTAGTTCAGAATATACTGTTAACACTTCATTATGTTTTTCCTAAATCACGGTGAATTTGTTGATACGTAAATACTTTGATTCTTTGGCCGTTTTGTTTACTCTTTTTCTCAATAGGAAAGCTTTGTTTATTGATGACAAGCATGTTGTAGAATATGGCATAACATCTTGTTCTGCTATCAAGTTTATAGTTTTTGAAGGAAATAGCATTTCTGAACCGTCCCTGTATGTATTTTGAAGTTCCTTTAGCTGTTAGGGACCCAGAACTCATTCATGGTGATCTTGGATGGGAGAAGAAGCCATTTCCTAGTGAGTTGTTAGATGCGGATGGTCTGCTGTGTGATTTGTTTATTTTGTTTTGCTTTTGTACTCCTCTCCTGACTCTGCCTTTCCATATGTTTGGAGGGAGGATTCAGATTTCACGTAACAGTATTCTTGAACTATATAATTTTAGGCAGCACAGTATCCACAGCAGGGCTTACACAGGAAAGAACGTGTAAGGACTGAGTGGGCCCATGGCTGATGCCAAAATGAGGAAAACCCACATGGTCTGCAGGTGGGGGTTCCCTGCTAGGCTTATTCTATGTGAGTCAATTTCAACTACAATTTTTATCACAGGTTAATAAAACCAGGTGTGTTATGATGCTACTTCTAATTTTCTCTTTAAAAACAGCGTTTATTTTACTTCATCTTGTTTCGGAAAAGATCCTGATCTAGGCCATATAGGGAGGTCTAACTCTGCACATCTCAACTAACAGCCTCCCTTTGAGATCTTCTTGCTTGCTGCTGCTTCCAAAGATTCCTGGCCAGGAGGAAAAATCACTTGTGTAAACTGTAAGCCTCCTATAAGCCTCCTTAGGAGAACTTCAAGGCAGAGAGTTAAGGTGAATTGTTTTGCAGAGCTTTAGAAAAAGAAAATGCAAGAAAAATAATAAGGTGAACAAAATCAAAATCACACAACATAATAAGTGTTTAAGAGTTAGATCCTTGGGGGAATTTCTAGGAACTACGTAGTTCTGTATTTTTTTTTTTTCTTTAAGATACTTTTTAAAAGAACTTGGACTCTTTTAGGTGGTATAGGGGAAGTATGTTAATAAGACTGCCAGCATCTTCTATAGTCTTTCTAGCATAAGTATTCATTGCCTATATAGTGCGGAAATTCAAAGGACATGGTTAATAACTTCTAGTAAGTAATATAGTGTGGCATTTACTGATGTGGAGGGCTAAGGTCATTAAAGACTTTAAATGAACTATTATATGGCTAGTTCCTTAAGCACTGCTGCGTATTTAATAACGAGCTTCTAAAAGCATTTCTTAAGTTGCAGACCTGAAAGATTACAAATGTCACTCATGTTAGTATAATCCACATGCAAGTGATGAAGTCTTCTCTTTGATGTGCTAAATTGGAGAAGGACTAATGGAGCTATGAATATACAATAGAACATATTTAAGTAGTAGTCTTGCTTTAGGTAAAACACTTTCTTGAAACCAGAGGCATTTAAACAATAAAACCCTGCTCTAATGGGGATGCTCTGTGTGGATAGAAAGCTACTAAAAACACTCAGGTTTATTCTGATGTGAACAGTGATTGTGTGCAGTTTTTCCCCCAACCCCAATATTGCTTAGGAAAAAAAAAAACACAACCATGAGCTTATTCAGCTTTCATCCATTGTATTTGTGGTGCTATTAGTGAAATGTACGCCATTCCTTGGAAAGGACTTGATTTAACATGAACCACGTCATAGAGCAAGATGGCCCCAGTCCCTACAAGCAAGTGCAATTAAAAATAAAAGCAAATGTCACTGAGCCCTGCTCAACTCCTGTTAAAAAAATCATGTTTATAATACATATAAATGCCTCAATCATGCAAATTGTCACTCTTGCTAATGAAACAATTTTGTAAAAAGATCGTTGTCTAAAAGGGTTTAATGTTTTTTACCTATCCAACTGTCTAGTTAGATTTATACATTCCACAAGCCAGGGCAGCTCGAAGCCTTTCCTAACCAAATCCTTTGCCACAAGAAACCATTTCCATTTCTTCATGATTTATTAGGAAGCAGTTTAACATGGACTGTAGTGTCTTATAAAATACAAAACGAGAAAACTGTCACACCAAAATGAAGCCTGTGAAATTATCCTCTTAATAGTAACTGTATTTAAATTCTTTCTTTTGCCCGTATTGACACTGATATTTGAAACAACTAATCATCTAAAATGAAGCTCTTAAATTAAATGGCTTTAAATGTCAATATAGTAAGATTCTAATGTGCAGTACTATTTATATAAAATATTTTTTAGGGCTAATAACAAAACACAGTGAATCCAACAGCTGTATATTGAGTCTAGTGCAGAGTTTCCACATAGCCTAAATAATTGCATTAAATTGAGAAAAGGCCTTTCGTTTTCCAAAAGACTCCTTCCTTCACTATGGAACTGTATCCCGGGTGCTTGTGCACCTCAGCTCAGTTTAAGAGGCCTTTGGAAACAGACCATTTATAAGTTGATATAACTTGTCGCTTTGTTACTAAGACTCGCCTATTGTCAGTCCAGCCAAGTCACAGAAATGCTTATTGCAGTTAAATAGCAATTTGTTTCCATGAAACTGCAATTAAAGTATTAGTGAGCAGCCATTTTAGATTGGCAATGCTCTGAATGCATGTTAAACAGCCAGCAACTCCCACTCGCAGGGTCTGAGATCTGACTAGCAGCAAAGTGTAACACATTCACCTATGTTGGACATCTAGTTAAAAGGCATTTGAAACCTCAGCGCAGCCCTCTGATCCCATTCTGAACGTGCTGAGAACAACGACAAGTCAGGGCTGATTTTTGGAAGATGAACTTGCAACTTACCTCAAGTGAATAGTATTTTCAGTGGTACAAGAAGTGCTTTATGCTAGTAGATCTGTGCATGTTTCCTAGAGGGAATGTTTTCAAGTTCAGATAGATTCTGCTGAGAATGGACTGCAACTCCGAGGCCTCAAGCCAATAATGTACTACAGGTCCTGACACGTTACAGCTGTGTAAACAGGGCCATTCTGTCTCCTAAATCACAACTAATAAAGGATAGGACGAAAATCAATTGATTCTGTTATAAGTTCTTTGAATGACGCCAGAAAGTTGTTTAATGACTCTCTGTTAAGATGGACATGCCTGAGCTGAGCCCCCAAAATACCTATTTTAATTATCTCTCTCTCAGAAACAGGGCAGGACAGCCTTTCCTGGGTATTAGCATCACCACCACCAGATCTAAACGGGCCACGGAAGGGATCTGAGCTGAGTTCTTCCTGCAGATCTGAAGTTCAGGATTTGTTGAGTGAGAAAGGCAAAGTGCAAAGGTTTTACTGAAAATGTGAAACATTGATGTAAGATCCTGAGAGAGGAACGGATTTCAGAGGTGGTGTTTTAAAATGCAATTAGCACTGAATTCTAACCAGCTGGGAAACAATCATTAGCTCTCAAGAACAGGAGGCATCTCACCTTCTTCCTTCGGCCTAGAAAGTTCCCCCTACCTTGAATCAAAAGGTTTGTGTCCTCAACGTTTTCAAGAACAACTTTCATATACAGTGCGTCTATTTGTTCTTCACCAAGGTTATTTGAGCTGTGTGTGTGTGTGTCTGTGTATATATAATTTTTTTTTCCCAGTAAGGGGAAAACACTGAAGAATTTCGTCCTAAATTAATCTTTGATTTTCAGTGAATTGAATGTTCTTAAGAAATATAAAGAGACAAATCCGAGAACAATTTACAAATAAAGATTAATTATGAA